CCCAACCACCACACACTCATCTTTATAAATCATTTTTTCTTTCCCAAATCAAAAGATGATCTGGCTTTTACCAATCTGAACTAAATCCTGGAATAGACTTTCCAATGTTTGTCAGCTCTCTACATGAGTGGCTGATATGCAGTACCCATGATCTTGTAAGGTACAGTGCATTGGTGGACCAATGTGTTGTAATATTGGCCAAGGTGAATGGCAGAAAATTAATCAACTTCTTATTGAAAACCTCACCAATATTTTAAAATTATACTGCCAGAATTTATTTTCAAACATGTAGAGATCATAAGTACAAAAATAGTTTTTGTAGATCAAAACACTGACACTGGACTGGATTCACTATTATAAATGGAGAAACCAAGCCTTAAATTTTGCTCTTCTCAATTCCCATGTTTAATAAAAAGGGCATTTCTCACCTCATTGCATACACTTATTAATGGAGGCTCCATTGAGGAGGGAACATAAACAACCTGGTTAATTGTATAAATAGAACTGGCCTGCAAAAAATAACCTTCCTTACTTACTGCTCCACAGGATAATCAACCACTTACTTAAAACTATTGAATTAACTTTCAGGGGGCCTCACCATCCTGAATTTATGCTCCGGTATATTAAACTATGAAAGTACACAGTCCATATTGGAGTGAAAACAAGACGAGAAAAACAAACTGGAGCAAACATTGAAAAGCTATCAATTAATGTTAATCAGTGTATCAATCTTGTGAAATGTTCACTTCTTGCAACAATTATACTATGTATGATCTGCAAAACAATTACATCTCAATTAATCCTATTGTGAAACAAAAACTTCGGAGCACAATGAACTTACTGGTTGCATGTTCTGAACACTGCATTCAGACCAGTTATAACCACATAAAAATCTACAACTTTTTAAAAATTAGATTTTAAATTAAATTTTAGCCAGTTGATAAGGCTAAGGTACTTTAAAAATACATAGTGCACCAGTAAATCTATTTGATGAAATGCTTCCTAAAATACTTCAGACAGGAAATCATTTCCAATTAGCTTGACTTTACAGCAAAGAATTTATTGATCATTAAATTACATTTTCATCCCAGTGCAGTAATGAAAGAATGTTCCATTTGCAAGAGGTGTCGTGCTGTCTTCTACATGAGATATGAAATCAAGGTCCTATCTGCCTGTTCAGGTAAATGTTTAAGATTCCATGACACTATTCAAAATATATATCTTTTTTGGTCATCTAGGTGCTTGACACATGCAAAATCCCACACCATGGCTAAGAGTATCCAAACCAAACAGAGTTCCATGCATCCCATGTACAGATGGAAATTCCCACCTATTGGAAAATGATGTGAACTCTCTCCCTGGAGGGACACATCCTGGTTACCTAATTCCAAGAGAGTGTTTGGCACGGGCTGGCAAGAGCCAAGGTTTAGACCCCAAAGTGTGCATTGGGGTACTGCTGGAGTCTAACCAACTAAAACTGCATAGCTTGCCATTGAAAGCAATGTCTGGTAAGCTTTTCCACTGCTTGTTCAGTTAGAACCAGCCTAGCCATTGGTTTGCAGGATTAACAGTACAGAGTGTGAAGAATTCCTGGTCTGAAACCTCAAAATCCTACCAATGAGCAAGGCTGGCTAGGCTGTCAGCAGTGCCTGGTGTACTGCAGACCTGCACGGCTCAGGAAGCGGACTACTGAGACCATCAGAGGGTTGACTCTATTCTGACATTCCATTGCCATGCTTATCCTCCTCCCCACAGAGAATAGTCACTTCTTGGTCATGTGACATCCGATAGGTGCAAGTTTGAGCCCTGACTTGGTCGATGGAAATTATCAGGAACTCCCTGTAGTATCCTGAGCAGTAATCCTTCAGATAAATTGATTACTCACTTCAAAGGATCTGATATCAAATGTTTGTGCACTCAGGAATTCTCAATGCAAGCAAGTGGATAGCCCATGTTGTACTATGTTCATAATGAGCATTTGTAAACAAGATTAGTTAGGTGCTTAGTGCTCACAGGCAGAGGAAAAACAGAGTTTCCTCCCACATCTGCATCAAAGATGCTCCTGCATCAGGAATCAAATGGATTTTAAAAGGAGACTTAAGGGTTACCCTAAAATTTTACACATTAAGCCCATTCATCTGCAAGGATTTAAGATGCATTTCGGCAATTTCCCGGCTATAGAATTACAGAAATGGGTAGGTTTGATCTGTATAATCACTACATTAGTTAAGCTTTTTAAAAAAATATTTAAATGCTCACATCTTTTTCCAAGTCAAGAATTGAAGACATCCAGTAAATGTAAGAATCAAAGCATCAGGAAAGGTCAGAGAAAGCTGGTGGTTTGTTTGATCAGCAACATTTCTCACCCTCAAAACTGCATATTGTAGGATATTTTAATATATTTAAAAAAGACACATATTCAATGCTAAAACTCAAACATTATTATTGCTCACCATAGTACTATTTTAGATCCCTCCCTCCACTGGGAATCAATTTTCTAACGCAGTCTGACATGACAACCTCCTCCTATCTGAATCAGCTGCAGTGACAGGTGCAAAATCAATTTCTATGAAACTGGGCCAGATTGTGGAAGAGTGGGAATACACAGCAAGTCTTTCCAACACCTACTTGCACCCGCTGTCACCTTGGTGGGTAGCAAGAAGAATAGTCTGTTTATAAAAAAGAAAATTACACATTTCACTGGCACTTAATGATAGAAATACAGTATTAGATGCATTACCACAGATGCCAATTTATGGTGCACAACTTCAAGTCAACCCTCAAATCTCTGCCTTGTCTCTTCCACTGCCTGCTTTCAAACCCTTCGGACTCCACTTCTGGCCACTTTCCCATTGGTAGGATTTTAAGCGCTCTGAGATACTACCCTGCATGGAGGGCGCTATATAATTGAAAGTTGTTGTTGTCATCGTCCCCCACCCTCCCTCTCAGGCCCTAATCCCACACCCCTTTCCCCACAGCACAGGCTTCCAGTGACCTGGGTGAATGATTTCTTCCGATATGAAAAGCATCATCCAAATGTAAATTGTTGTTGCTCTGGAGAGATCATTTATGAGCTTTCTACCAGATGATTGCACAAAGGGCTTTTTTTTGTTGGAAGATTTTACATTAACATGTTTTCATGCCAAATGAAACAAGGTTTTGATACTTTATTACAACAACAACTTGCATTTATAAGAAGCTTTCATAAGGGGTAGCATCTCGGCGCGTTATTACCCACGATTTCAAATGAATAAAAATTTAAAAGCACACGGTTCCCAATTCATTACTTTCAAGCCAGCGACAGGTACTTGCAGGTGATTTTAATGATGTCCCTTAAGTGGTTAAACTATTCTTTGATGTGAGGAACACATCAACGTTGAAAGCTCATTTTCATCTAGCAGATGAAATGCTAAATATGAATTTGGGCTAAAAAAGGACAGTGGAGGAATATTTTGTGTATTTAGAACCTTATGTTTTCTTGTTTATGGAAGGAGTAACATGTCTGTACTTATCCAGGTGAGTAGTGCTAATATTGGAACTTCTCTTCTTGCATTTTGGGCGACCAGTGTCAGCATCAAACATAACAGAGAACCATTAAAGCTCATTCTTCTCTGCTACCATATTGTGCCTCATCTCAAATCTCAGACAAACAACTCTGACTGCAGTAGTGTGAGAATCTCTATTTCTTAATATCAAGGACCTTGTAAAAGACTCAATTTAGTTCTTTGCAGCTCGGTTGAGACTGCACACAGGACCCTTTGAATTCACAAATTGAGTAATTTTTGCCACCCAAGAATCACATAATTATACAGCACAAATACATTATGTATCATTCCAATAGTATGCATATAGTGTGCAATTTTCCACAAGATAAGAGGTTATAAGTGTTTTCAGTATTGATATTTCATAACTTATGACTCATGTAGACTTTATGAGTATTTATTCATGAGTCAGCTTAGTCAGCTGACCTGATGCACAAGTGGTCTAGTGTTGACTCTCCCTCCTCTCAGCAGGGAAGCATCTGACTATTGCTCAGGTTCTCCTGTAATCATTACATGAGTGTTGTGAGCGAAAGTGCAATCCCATATTCTACCTACACCATGGCAATGCATATTAAAATATTGCAATACCGTGAAATTACTATTTTATCATGGTCTCATCTTAATAAGGTTTGGGTTCCTCCAGCAACTTTAAGAGGTTCAGACAGGAGTTGGAGAGTAGGCAAAAATGGATTCCGTAACAAAAGGGTTTATTGAAGTGAGCTTTGTTCTTAGCAGCGGAACCACTGAACTGCAGAATCAAATTCAACCAAATAAAAGATGTACAGGGAGACTCAGTTATAAAGTGCCTCGCTAGAATGAAAATTTACTTAAAACTTGGGTGTCCTGTAGACCCGCACGTGTTTTACCAAAGGTATGGCAAACTTGGTTTGCGGCATTAAAGAATGGCGGCCTTTCAGTTGAGAGCATCGCTACTTCCTGCGTACTATGATCATAAGCGACAAAAACAACATTTCTTGTGAAGTGATGCTTCCTGCATGACAACCTAAGAAGGCTACTATTTCAGTGGTACATTATTACACTAGGGTCTGAGTCTATGAGCCCGATCTGCAACTTTATAACGAAGACATCCTGTATCCTTTTCTGAATATTTAACTATAGCTCATTTGGTAAAAGCAATGCCCAGTGCAGAAGCCAGACCAGGAAGCTCCAACCTGCGCTGATAAATACATGATGGTACATGTGCAGCAATTATCATTAGGAAAGTGAAAGAAAAAAATCAACTTAAGCTCCTGCTCCTTTATATTAATGTGACCCCTGTTGGGGGTCAGGATACTGCAGTGTCAAGAACATATGGAACCATTCTCAACACCATACATCTCCAGAAGAAAGAGGAGGGACAATATTAGAAGCGGGGAGGGGTAACCACAAATGTATTATGGGGAAGAACTGTCCAAGATGATACATCTTAAACAGTGTTACAGTAAAATTGAACTATACCTTCATGCTGGATGCTTCGGTCTCTAGTTGTGTCAGATGATTTGAGTTGTCCTCCAACTCCTGCCGCAGATTTGAATTCTCCATTTTAAGGGCCTCTACTTGCTTCAGGAGCTGATCATATGAAGCTGATGATGCAGCCATCCTGAACTAGACCAAGACCTGTTTAAAAACATAAATACGTCACCTACGCTTTCACCCTTGGAATGATGGTTCATACAAAAATGGACACGAGTTCAAGATCGTACTGATTATACAGTACTACATGTACACTTTGGTGCATGTTCCCCAACCCCAATGTGCTTTTCATCGAGAAAGTTGAGTTCCTTTTGAGTTAGTCTCCTTACAGCTTGGAGACCATTATCTTGGGATTAATTATCTTGGATTCATCCTTGCTGCCCTTTTCTGAGTACTTTCCAACTCCCTTGAAATTGGATCCATTCTTCCAAATGTAATTGACCTATGCGGTACACAAGGCTAGAGTAATATTTACACAATCAAATGCACTCAAGCTTTACACTGACAACAGGTCTTAAATAGAGGAATAATCCCTTCCAAATCATCTTTTTTTGTTAATGAGAACCTATATACATTATTTGTTCTAAAAACAACAACTCGCAAATGCAAGTTTGTGTCCTTCACGTGGGTACCATTGGAATAATTAACTGTGGTTCAACACTGAGCTAAAAAGAGAGGGGAGGCAACTGAGGCGATGGTCGAAGAGGAAAGTCTCCAGGTGTGATTTGAAGATGGGTAAAGAGGGGGGCAAGATGGAGTGAGTTCCAGAGATTTTAGATATAGCATCTGAAAACACCGCCACCAATGATGAAACAGGTGACAAGAATGTGCAGAAGATCCGAATTGAGGTGAAGGAAGCATGAATGAGTTTCAGCAGAGTTTGAAGTACAGTACAATGCAAAATTACATTTGTAAAGTGCCTTTTATGTCAGGTGGACGTTCCAAGGCCCTGGACAGTCAGGGATTCGTCAGTAAGATTGTTCCAAGATGCATAACAACATTCCTATTTTCCAAATTAAAATATATCTGCCATTCTTTAGTCAAACTGGTTAACTTTGTTGAAAGGCCTATACTTGAGACTTCTCTACAGATACTAGGGGTATATTTGTCAGGCAATCCTAGTACAGTAGAAAGTATCTACAAGTCAGGAATGATTTCAGCAGTTTATAAAACTAATTGAAAATAGCTTTTTTAAATAAAAAGTCCCTGCATTTTTCTTTAACTAAACAGGATAAAGTTTTCTCAGTAATCTATACAAAAGTATTTCAAAAGCAGTTAAGGGGTCTATGTTACATAGAGTGGCATAGAAAGTTAATCAGACCACTGCAAAGGCTGCCTGCATCAACCTCAAAGATTAATTGCCCTTTTCCAAAAAATGATCAAGGCAATTTTATTTTAAAGCAACCAAGTATTGTGAACAAAGCCAGCATTGTTTTACATAATTTTTTTAAAAAAATGCACAATTGAACTAAGGAAGTTACCTTTGTTGAGTATATATCTGAAGAATATATACACACATACATATGTAATATATCTATACACACACATTGACTCTTCATTTGCGTTGCTCTCTTGCCCCTAGTTCTTGCTCTGCTTGGTGTCTGAATTTCAATGCTCTCCTTCCCAACCTCAGACCCATTTCAGTTGCCTCTTTGAGCTCAGCTTCCTGGCGTAGACAGCTGAATTTGGGAGTGAAATGGTGTGGAAGCAGAGTAGGAAAGGTAAGTGGATGTGGTGTGCACATCCTGTGAATAGTGTAAAATACAGTTTGGTTGCAAATACTAGGTTCATTACTATCATGCAGTTTTCATTATTCTGGTGAGTATTACACATTGAAGACGTTTGAAGAAAGCTACTTGTCAGTTGAGTGTTTGAGGTGAAGCAATTAGGATGCATCAAGTGTCTGAATTGCAGTGCAGTGACAGGTCTAACATGCATACACAATATGAATAGTTTGGAGAAGTGTTTCCAACTTGGCTGGCCAGGTAACAGTGAAAACCTAAAATGAAAACTAGAACAAATAACAAATAAATAGCCATCTCGGTTTCTGCAAGAAGCACTAGCAACCAATTTAAAGTAAAGTTTATTTCAAAATAATATGAATTACTATTCATGGAAATCAATCACCATTAATTTGAATGTGCAATAGATCTCTATTTATGAATTTCAGTTACCCATAGTTTTTTTTCTTATGGCAGATAGCTGAGTTTAAAATGTAGAGGATACATGACGAGTTGTGGGATACAATTTATCTTCTATGGGTGTAGTGACCTAAAAACGTCAGAGCACATCAGAAACAGTGCAATAATCATTGTAATTCAAACTCTTCTGTTTATTTACCATAAAATCAAGAACTTGCATTTTCGTAGCACATTATTACATTGAAATATCTCAATGTGTTTCACCAACAATTACTGTCAAGTCCAGTTCCTACATTTGAGACAAACAAGGCATTTTGCATGAACAAAATCCCACAAACAGCCACGAGGTGAATGACTAACATGAAGGATCACTGGCCAAGACACCAAGAGATATTTCCTTCCATTTTCAAATAATGACTTGAGATTTTTAATGTTGACTGAACAAGCAGACATGATCACCACCAAGTGAAAGATGGCACTTACAACAATGCAGTGTTCCCCATTACTGCACCCCAGAATGCTTTGCCCACTTATACAAGCCATCCACATTGATGACAGTAATGTTGCTAATGTGTGTTCAATTTGTCTCCCTATCAGCCTCCGTTTCTGGTCCCTAGGCTCTTCATGCTGGGGTGCTCCAGCTCTTCTCTGGGAGCTGACATCATTTGTGTGAGAGCTTTGACAGCGAGTATCCGATGATACACATGCACACTATCAGTAGAGGAGCAGAAATTCTGGCTGGGTTTCCCGTCCCTAAGCCTGGGAAAGCTGAGACCAATTTAGTCTTCTCATGCAACTCCAGCTGAAACCAGCAAACTCATTTAAGCTGGGATTTGAACAGTGAGCTTCCCTATCTGTAAGCTGCAATTCTCTCCACTGTACCATTGGGGTTGTGCGTTGTGAAAATACCTTCCCTTAATCAATGAAGGCGGGAGCTAGAACAGAAAATTAAAAATGTGACTAATTAAGTTTGCATGCTCATGGTGGTTTGCTTGTTGCATAGAATCAGTCAAACAGTTTAACTGGGGTGAATTTCATACAGGCAGCAGCCTAGCCCATTGCAAAGTTCCTCTGTCTGAAGCAGTCTTGTACTATAAACATGCATAGGAGATGAAGCGTGAAATGAGTCCCCTGGTCTGTGTGCTTTGGTATAGTTACTGTAGTCAGAGGTGCAGAGGTCAGTCAGGGGATTTGGTGTTAGCGCTGCCTACTAATTAAAGTTCTCAGAGAAGGATAATAGTGTTGGAGAAATCGTTTGATGTGCTCAAGGAAACCAGTAAGTGAGCACATATAATTTGGCAATATGTTGCTAATGTTCTATTCTGTATAATGGGACAGAATGAATGTGTGTTTGTGTGTGTGGGGGTGGGGTTGGAGAACGAGCATGCTGAGGAAACAACAGAGGAAGAGGTAAGTAGAAGTGCAGTAATTGGGAAACAATAGGATAGGCAGAAGCTGTACGAGAGGTTGGGAGATCAGTGTAGTAATGCAGGGAATTGAAATATCAAATAAGTTCCAGGTGCTGGATAACATCGAGGGGTAGATATCAAGGAATGGATGAATAAGGAGGAGATGAGCTAATGGTGAGGTGTATGTGGGATTAACAGCAACTTGCATTTATGTAGGGCCCTTCACGCAGGATAGTGTTGCACTGATATAATATAATAATCAGATCGTCAGAGATGTACGTTTCGACTTCTTTAGAACAAAGATATGCTTTTTCAAATTATTAACAATCAAAGCTAGGAGTTATGGGAATAGTTGGACTGCTGTGGAAAACACTGGAGTTATAGATAGTGGGAACAGATAAACTAGTGTCTAATGTAGAAATTTCTTGTCTAATGTAGGTAGAATTTCTCATTTTTTCTTCCTGTCACCATGTTCCTCATCATCATCATCACCCTCCTAAATAAATTAGCTATCATAGCAGAGACCAGGATCAGACTTTCGCTGAACTTCAAAAGAATGGTTTATAATGAGAAACCAATTAATTCTTCATTTCCCCATTTGAAATATTTGTTGTAGGAGAAAGAACTTGCATTTTATAACTCTTATCGGATTAAAAAGTTGCCAAACACTGTTTTTAAAGGCAAAATGTGGCAGATCAGCAAGGTCCCAAAACAGCCATTAGGTGAGAAAGATTACCTACATTTATATGGTCTTCCTCATTCTTTTAATATGGACATCCTCCACACCAAGCCTAACGTGTGAAATGTCTGGGATGACCTTTTGTAATTAAATCTTTTCATGCAATAAGGACTATAAAATACAAGTTCTGTCTCCTACAACAAATATTTCAAATGGGCAAAGGAAGAATTGGTTTCAATTTGTAATTAAATCTTGAAAGGTTTTGGGTGTGGCTTCTAATTTTTCTCCTACCTTGAGCCATTGGCAGTTGTATGGAGAAATATTTACTATAATTTTAAACAGTATTTTAACAAAGTTTGAGTGACTTAATGAGATGAAACTTTGGTCAGTTTGTGAGACAAAATGGTCCATTCTGCTTCATAGCAGTTCTCCAGGCTTTGTACATCGAGCTCCTATTGGATCCTGCTGCACTAAATCTCAGTTATCAAATTAATTTACCATAGTGGTATTTGGAGGATACGAATGAGCAACAATGATCAATTAATTTGGAAGATTATTGCTTATGGCACCTTTTCTTTCAGATTAGATCTTTAATATTTACTTGAACAACCAGATGCAAGTTTGTTCTATTGTCTCATCTGAAAGGAAATATAACCTACCCCTATTACTGCACTGCAGTGTCAGCCCAGGCTATGAGCTCAAACTCCAATGTAAAGTTTGAACCCACAAATCGTCCGACCAACAAATGAGAGTGAAACCAAACTGACATTTCTTTATCTCATGAATCAAATGTTCTTTTTCCTTTTACGTCTTCCCCACACATTTCACACCAAATATAAAATACTAAAACCTACAATAAAGCAAAAAAGTCACCCAACAAGGGGAGTAATTGATGAGAGATCTGCATTCAACCAC